TCGCTCTCGCTCTCCCTCTCTCTAGCTCTCTCTCTCTCTCTCTCTCTCTCTCTCTCTCACACACACACACACACACACACATGCTAAATATATATGTTTTTCTGTTTATAAAATAAAAATAATAATAGTACCAACTCCATGGGTTATTAATAGAATGACATGACATATGTAAAGCCCTTAGAACAAGCCTGGAATATGAAAGCCTGCTGGTCACTAACATATATGTCACTGGAATAAAACCATAAAGACAACCCACTAAAGAAGGACACGCCTCATGCTATCTCTAGGCCCTCTACAGACATGGTGATCTGTGAAGTTACTTTCCATTTATTGTCTCTGCTCACAACAAGCCTTCCAGCTTCTCCCTGCAGATACTCACGGGCTCTGAGGCTGCTCCGTGTCTTCCCGGGCCCTCACCCAAAGGGAGTGTCTTTCTTGTTTTATGATCTAAAAGAATTTATTTCTCAAATAAATAAACTTTTATTATAGGGTCACTATAAGGCCTCGGAGAGAGTTTCACTTAAAAGCTTACAGTGGGCAAAGCAATATAACCTTTGCTTAACTTGCGAGACCTGGTCAGCCCCGTTTCTGAGCAGCCTCCCTCCACTCTGCAACAGTCTGTCTCCTGCCCTCTGCTTCATGTCAATCAATTTGCCCTCAGACACGCTTTAACCCATCAGAGCCTTTATGTGTCTAATAGTGCATTTCTAAAGCCTGGGTTTGCTTTCCCTCAGTTTTTTGTTTTCTTTTTTTCTTTAGATAAATCTTCTCTTTGCTTCATTACACAAAGCTTTCTGTCCCTATCTTGGTCCAACTAAATTCAGCAAATACCATTTGTGGTTCTATTAGATACCAATTACCGTGCTTGGTAGCACTTGTTTTATTTCCTCTTTCTTTTCTTTGCCTTTAATTCTCTCTAAGTCTCCTTGAGAGAGGGAATCACAACTTTTAATACACAACTTTTTAATACTTAAAATTCTCTTAGTTGTTACAAATATATTTTTAAAAAATCTCCATATATCAGAACCTTGTGTGAGAGCAAATTCCAATGGGGAAGGAGTTGTATATACTTGACTATATGTCTGAAGTTAGTAAGTTGTATATGGCCCATTCTGTGGTATGGGTTCATTATTCTCAAGTAATCTTTTTTGTTGAATTTATCAAGTCCCGAGTTTTAAAGTAATTCTTCACATAGTTTTATTGAGAGATACCTGAATCAGGTAGACCTGTCAACATTTATGGTCTGTATGTGGTTGCTGAAGGTGGTTAAATCGGTCAAGAACAGACTAGTACCTAAAGAGCGTTTCTAATTTAGATGTACCTCCTTACCCTTTCATGCCTCTTAAAGTGAGAGTAATAATGCCTCATGTGTGGAACATAACAGGTTAATTAGTTGTCAGTAAACCTCTTCGAATGTGTTGCTACGTAACTAAAGAGAGGCATGTTTTAAGTAATTTATCATATAATTATAAGGCAAGGATCCACAGATAGGTACTATGTTTGCAGACATTTACCTAATTTTATTGCCTTGCATTCTTTTCAGAGAGAGAGTATTAGAATTCTGAGTCCATTTCTATAAAATGATATTTATTTATTAAATGGTTATTTTTTCGGATGACATGTTAGGTCTTCTGCAGAATCAGAAGAGAGATGATTGAGGGAAAAGGTGAGGGGTCCATGACCTGAATCATCTATTCAAAAATCACATTCACTATTCATTCATTAATTCATCAATCATTTCTTGACTCTCTGTTGTGTGTCAGATACATACTATGAGCTGAGAACTCAAAGATTAAAAAGATAAAGCTGTGCCATTAAAAAGTTGACTGTCTATTGGAGGAGGCAAGCTATCAATGAATAATACCATTAGGTGAGTCCTGATACAAAAATGTATAAATATTGTGAGAGGAGGATGGAATGAATGACTGCTGTGCTTGGTGGGGAGTTAGGAACATCTTTATCCAGGAGTCCTAAGGGATTCGTGGTTCAATGAGAAGATGTGGGCTGGAGAAGGTCATTTGTAGAAAAGAAAAGTACAGTGGTTTTAAGAGTGTGGAATGTTCAGAAGGAGCTCAGCGAGACACACAGGTAAGATTGTGAGAGGGGAAACCTGGGATAAAGCTCAAAAGATAAACAACAGAGTGGGAAAAGCCCTATATTTCATGCCATGGATTTCAGACTTTCTCTTGGAAAGAATAATTTAATTATATTAAATGGGGAAATGACCTGATCAGACTCTAACAGGAAATCATGGAAATACTTAGTGAATAAAACACTAAACCTCCAGAAATAATTGAACGATTGCCCTTCAGAGTAGCTTTTTAGGATGTTCATTGAAAAAAGGAATTTTTGTTCAAATAAGTTTGAAGAAAACTACAAACTCAATTTTCTCAGAGAGACACATTATATACCAGAATTTACTAGTGGCTCTGTGAGGACCCGCATAAAGGATAGTTGTTGAACTGTATGGGTCTGCCTCAGTGTGTCTGGGAGGAGTCGATGCTGCTCTGGGAGCCATTCATGTTTTGTTCAGGCAGCTGCAGGGCACCTCCGGGGGCAGGCAGTTGGGCAGGGCAGCGGAGGTAGAGGCCATATGCTCCTCAAAGCTGTGGATGCGAGGCTTTTAGGTGGGCTCGGGGCTGGCTAGTGGGGTGACACTATTGCGTCTCATGAGTGGGTTAGGTCCCTTTTTTGCGTCCTCTGACCTCTCCCGGTGTGTGTTCACGGACTCCACATTCAGGTAGATGGATTCTACACGGCAGCCATAAGCGACTGGCATCAGCTTCAGGACGGTGTGAAGGGGGCAGCTCAGGTAAGGCTCTGCACTCTTATCCAGGAAGTAGGCCAGCAGGCAGCGCTGGACGGCCTGGTGGCAGATGACCAGCACATTCTCCTGCCGCTCCAGCTCCATGATCACTGGCTCCAGGCGCTGGACCAGGTCCTGGTAGGACTCCCCAGTGGGGTACCGGTAGTAGTACTTGTCCTGCTTGTGCAGGGCGTATTCCTCAGGGTAGGTGTCCTTGATCTCCTCGTAGGTCATCTCCTCGCAGACACCAGCATTGATTTCGTTGAGCGCTTTCCACTGTTCATAGGGAAGCTGAAGGGATTCTGCCGTCTGGATGGTGCTCTTCAGCTGGCTGGCCCACACCTTGAGGTCCTTCAGGTTCTGCTCCTCCACAAATTTGCTCAGGGTGTTGGCAAACTTCCTGCCCCTGACGGACAGGCCTGAGTCCCCTCCGATCTTCCCCTGGAGGTTGTGCTCGCTCTCTCCGTGCCCACACAGGTAGATGGCGCGGGGCTGCACGTGGATGCTCATTAGGTAGTTACACAGTTCGTCTCTGAATGTGGTCCTGAACTCTGTTCACCACGAGCCGCCGGCCCACGTCGATCACCTTGATCAAGGACAGGTCCCTGTCACATTTGTCGGGGTCGAGGGGCTGATAGCTGGCTTCATAGCAGTGAATTCTCTTCACGAAGTCCTCCATGGCCTCTGCTGAGTTGCAGTCTTTGTAATCCGGGCTGGAGATTTTCACTTCCCTAATGTTGGTGGCCACAACTGTAGGGCCATCTCACATTGACTCGGTGAAAAACACCTTGAAATTATTTTCTTTGGCAAAATTAAGGATCATGTGTCTCCTCTCTCTAGTAGAATTGGTGGCATCGAAAACTGAAATTTGGCCCCCTGCCTTGTCAGGTAACTTTTGACGTCTCCCAAGGCAGCCAGGGCACACTGCTTTCGGACTCTCGTGGCCTCCTGGTTGTCAGGGCAAAAGAAGTTGTAGGAGCTGTAGTGCTTCACGGCCTCCGAGCGGTACTCTCCAACGTTGAACGCTTTCGTGGGGACACCAATCCAGTTGAGGTATCGAGTCAACTTCTTGGATATGTAGGTCTTACCTCGGGCTGGGAGGCCCACCATGACAATCACTGTTGGGGAGCTGGTCAGCTTCGGCCCACAGGATCTGGGCAACGAAGGACGGTGGTCCACCGGGATCCAGATCTTCTGCACCCGGATCCGAGTCAGCTCCAGGGGCATCTTCACAGCCTAGACTCGGCGGCCCTCCTCTTGCAAATAATTCGGACTTGGGGAAGAGATCCGGTTGTCGACTCTGAGAAACAAAGGGAAAGAGGGAGTTTGTGCGTGGAAGCGCGGCCCGAGCACTCTCCCTAGCGCTGCTTATTTGGAAATGTGCTTTGTGCTAAATGACGAACCCTCGCACAGGGCAAGAGGTTCCGCGAGCGCTTCGAAAGGGCCGTGGATCTGGGGATACACCCGCAACTTCCGCAGGGCCTGGCCCCTCCACTCAGGAAGTCCCCACTCAGGGATGCTCGAAGAGCAGTGACAGCCGCAGTCCCAGGGAGCCAGCTCCAGTCCTCCGCGGTTTCCTCCCGCTCGCCTCCTCTCCAGCTCTGCTAGGATGCCCAGCGCACTGCGTGGGCTTTTAAGAGTCCTGCTGGGGCGGGTGGGGAAGGGCCTGGAAGGGCGGGGAAGGGCTGTGAGCAAGCCAGGAGGCAGCCTGCTGGTACCCCCTCTCCATACATTTTTAAGAGATCTGTTTGATGGAGTTTAAACCTCTTTATATTAATTGTGGTAGGTTCTAAATATTTGTTATCATTTTTTTGGTAATGAGACTTTAAAATCTACTCTATTAGCAACTTTTAAATATATGATACAGTATTATTAACTATAGTCACTGCGCTCTACATTACATCTTCATGCCTTATTATTATTATTATTATTTTTTTAAAACTGGAAATTTGTACCTTTTGACCACCTTTACCAATTTCACCTCCTCGCCAAGCCATACCTCTGGCAATCACCAATCTGTTCTCTGTATCTATGAGTTGTTGTTTTTTATGACTTAAACTATTTTGCTGGTTAGAATTTAAAAGATGTCAACATTTCCAGCTGCTAAGAATGTACTAGACAAAATCAAGGAACCATAATTTTGATATCTATGAAAAGGTAGATTGAAATGAGCTGCTTAGAAAATGTAGAAATTTCATTGTCGAAACCCTTTGAAACCTTTCTGTTTTCTTTTTCTTCTTGTTTCTCTGTCACGTTCACTGGTATCCGAAGAGGAAGAGACTGAAGAATTGTAGAGGGAATTTCTATTCATGCAAGCATCATATAACCTTAAGTCCTTTGGGGAAAGTAATTCTTGGCAAACATTCCAAGACCATGTATAAGTAGAAAAGGTTTCATAAAAGGACTCATTTTTAGCGTCTACTCCAACCAAATCCCCTTGGATCTTATGCCAGAAATTTAGCATTTCTTTCCGGTGCTCAGGAGCAATTCCTAAGTTACAGGTTTCTCTAGCTCTCTTCACATGCGGTTTAAGAGCAGCTGCCTCAGTCACTGTCCATTTCTGCTTTTTCTTTACCATTTGGTCAATGGAGAGGATCTCAGTCGGGTAGCCGGAGGAGAGTCGACAGGCTTTATATTTGCTGCCTGTGTTTTCCAATCTCTTTTATGGAAAAAGTAGTTATCAAAGAAACTCAGAGGCTCCTTTCTCCTAAGCATTTCTAATTTATGCATGTCTTTGAATGGCTTTCCCATTACCAGCCCATCCACATTAGGAAACAACGGAAAGATGGGTATTTTTGAATATGGATTGTCTGAAGGAGGATTGCATCTCCTGAGCTCCTCAAGATATCTGCATAAATCCTTTTCTTTCATTATTGCAATCCGAGTAGCATTAGCAAAGGCAGTTGTGCTTGAGGTCAGAGGTGTGCACATGTCTGGCTTAAATCTCCTTTTTCCATAATCTGTAGGGGAGGGATTCCACAATATTCCTGCAGTGGTTTCTTGGAATTTTCTTTGGAAATAGCTTACGAATTCTATTATAGCCTTTCTGGGTAAGGCTGAAATCTCTACAAGCTTTGATAGAATTTCAAACAACAGGATCCCTGGGTTGCCAGCAAAATCTAAACACTTGTCTTTTTCTGGAACCACAGCTCTAAGGAAGTGGTCCTTATCTGTTAGCACCTTTATAAAGTCTGAGAAATTCACTTTCCCATCTCGGTCAATATCAGCATATTTTAATTCATTATAGACATCATGCTTGGTTAGATGCATTCCCACCTTAGCTAAAGTGCACATCATTCCATGAAAATCAATACAGCCGGCTTTATCCTTGGTAAAGAAGTTGTAGGCATCTTGGAAGGCTTGAATTTGTGAAGCTCTCAACTTCCTTTCTTTGCGCCCTAATTGGCATGGGAGAGATCCTGGTAAATCTTTATCCCTCTTGCCATGTGAGCTGGGTACTTTTGTTAGAGGATCCAGCTTAAATTTTTGTTTAATGTCAGAAACTGCCATGTGGCCAGTAACTCTGTCTCCAGTCCCATAGCACCTCGCTCCGCTGCCTTCATGCGCTCCCGCTCTGTCGAGTTTTTGTTTTTTGTTTTTTTTTTTAGGTTGCTGGATTCTTTTAGATTATATGTATACTAGAGACCCAATGCACAAAATTTGTGTGTGTGTGTGTGTGGGGGGGGGGGTGTCCCTCAGCCCTGCCTGCACCCTCTCACAATCTGGGACTCCTAAACACCCACCTGCTGGCTCCTTACCACTTGGCTTGCTGCTCCTTAGCCCTGCTGTGGAGGCGGGAGCGGCTCCTGCCACCGCCACTGCGCTCACCAGCTGTGAGCCTGACTTCTGGCTGAGCAGTGCTCCACCTGTGGGAGCACACTGACCACCAGGGGGTAGCTCCCACGTTGAGTGTCTGTCCCCTGGTGGTCAGTGCACATCATAGCGACCGATTGACCAGTCATTTGGTCACTTAGGCTTCTATATATATAGATTTCACTTAGCCTAATGCCCTCAAGGTCTATCCATGTTATTGCAAATGACAATATTTCCCTCTTTTTGTGGCTATATTATATTTTATTGTATATATGTAGTATAGCATATAATCTTTAAAGTATCTTTCGCATTTTCTTCATTTCTCAGTAACTATGCTAGTGTAAATGAAAGCTGTCCTTATCATTGATAAAAATGTAGGTATTCCCCTCCCAGTGATAGAGCTTAATTAATTAATTAATTAATCTAACATCCAACACACATCTGTTGAAAGCCTACCATGTGCCAGGAAATGAGGATGCAGAAATGTACACGGAAAAGACTCCTCTGCCCTGTGTACGTTTATAGGACAGTGGGCAGCCCAAGCCCCACTGTGCTCCTTTGAATGGAGCTGAGCACTCTAGCTTCTCCACCATCTGGCTCCAGACAATTTGTGTAGCCCCATCTCCCACCATCCCACAACTGCCCCTTTCCCTAGCCTATGTACAGGCCCAGGACATGCCAAGATTTTGTACTTCCATACTTTTTCACGGACTATGGCCTCTCCCTAGAATGCCCCTGCTCTCTCCTCCCTTCTTCATCTTCTTCACATCATTCTTGGCCTTTAAGATTCTTGGAAGCATTTCCTGACACCACCTCCCCCTGTCTGATTGGAAGCCATTTTATTTTTGTACTCCGAATATTCCTCCATATTCAAGTATAACTCTATCATAACACTTACCAAATAAACTTGCTGAAATTGCTGGTTTATTTACGTCTTCTCCCCCATATTAGCCTATTAGCTACTTGAGACATTTCATGTCATTTTATTCTTACCACCTAACACCACCCCAGCTAGATATTTTGTGTTTGTTGAATGATAAAATACCTTTTTGTCTTATAGCAATGGAATCTCATCCATTCTCTTCTCACTATACTAAATTATTCTGAAATGAATTGTCAGTAAGAAGATGTCATTATTATTTTCCACCTATAGCACACCAAGTTGAAAGACAAAAGAAAAACTTTAAACACTCTCTGAAAATAATTGTAAGTAGTGCTCCTTAACTGGTTGCTGAAAACTATAACCAAGGCCATGCCTGAGGTAGTTAGGAGGACGCTGCTTGACCCGCAAAAGCTCTTTGTCAGAGACCACTTTATAAATAATCACGATGGTTCTACAAATGGCAACTGTGGCCCCAACCAAGGAACAATATTTACATCTTCTCAGAGTGGTAACATGGCTGGGCTTGCCTTGGTGGGTATAGTCACAGCCCACGCTCAAGTAAGAATTCTTTTGCATAGTATCACCTGCAAATGCCAAATGCCAGAAGGAAAGTTAGAATTATCCTGTTAGAAGATAATGGAGTAATAGTTTGTTTAATTATGACTTTATTGAAATAAGTTAAGAATGAACATGTAAGCATACCTTTTTCTGTCTTTTTTTTTCTATTCCATCTCTATAGTACCCATCTCTCCTGATCCCATTTTACTACCCAACCAAAATGGGTGAATTGACACAGTGGGGCCCTGGTTGGAAGGCTGAAGCCCTTAGAATGGAAAGAATGGCTTCCATGGCAGAGAGCTTATGCTGTGTCCCTTGCGGATCCAAACAGAAATGTGTTTCTCCCACCTCTCTTAGTCACATCCCTAATTTTGAGTAGTTGTTTTAAAATCTCAGCCACTAAGACTAAAATGCAACCCGGCCAACCAAACAACTTGCATATGCCCTGGGAGGCTTGACCTGGAGACCTAGGTGATAATGGGGTTTCTCACTGGTCATAATTTGGGATTGTTGGGCTGGGAAGGTGAGTGAGGGCTGGAGAAGAGCATCATTGGCACACACTGCAGTGTTGAAAAATGCCTGTAGAGTTTCTGCACTAAGCTTTCGAAGTTCAGTTCAGTTTAGGGAGCATTTATAGGGCATTCCTGGTGTGGCAAAACCAGATGCTAGAGATATAATAGTTTGCAAGGTAGATACAGTCCCTGACCTCCTAGTGCTTGTGAAGAAGTAAATACAGGAGATACAGACACGTGATAAGGGACTCATAAGCTGCTTAAAGACCATCCTGGAAAAGAGGATATAACAGCCTGCTATCAGAGAAAACAAGTGGAACTGGCCAACCCTTTTGTATAGAAGGGTAGATCGCTGCCTGACTTATCTTGCTCTGGTGAAAGATCAATGTCAAGGATCTAGGAAGAGCAATGTCAAGGATCCAGAAAGAGTAATGCCAAGGATCTGGGAAGAGCAACGTCAAGGATCTACATTGGACAACAGAAAATCTATATCTCAGATGGACTTTCTTTTCTCAGCTTCACTAGGCACGAAGAATGAGAGAGCAAACAGAGCCCGTGGTGGTGGGACCAGTGATGGCAGGGGTCAGGGTGAGCAATGGCAGGGAGTGTCCGTGGTGCTAGTGTGACAGCCAGACTGTGTTCCAGCAGTTAGGACATAGAGGGCAACTTGACGTTGTACTGGAAAGCCAAGGCAATTAGCAGCCAAGAGAGGCTGCAGAGAGAGTGGGAGCAACACGACACTTTAGGACAAGGTAGAGCAACCTGAACAATGGCTAGGGTTTGTGAAAGGATTTACCTGTGGCACCTGCACTCCATTGGAATGGAAGAAATGAAGGAAGATATGTTCCCTTTTCTGAAGACTTTGGGTGGGGCTATGGCTGTTTGTCACTGGAAAAGAACTATCCTTAGACGGTTGGGTCTCATCTGGTGAGAGTGAACTTACTCTCTTCACGATGTTCTTTTACCACTAAGAGTGCCCAAACAAATAAGGCGATGGGATTTAATGTCTATTTTAAAACATTCCTTGAAGCAAAAAGCCCAAGTAATATGGCGGTGAAGCTAAGAAAAGTAAAATATATCCTACCCACTTTTGGAGAAGACTTTCAAAACATCTGTATTCGTAGTAAATTGGCATTTTACAACGGCGTTGTTTCCCAAGATTGCTGTTAGGATCAAGCACAAACAAGATCCTGTGATAATAAGATTCCCTGGCAACGAGGCCCCTTAAATAGTGTTAGAGTTACTATAAAACAGAATTCTGTAGTGTGCCTGGATGCATTTAATCAGACTTTGGTGTCTATTTGTATTTTTATAACTGGTAAAGCAGCAAGGCCAATGAGTATGGGAGCCCAAGATAGTTACGATAGTGCTAGCCAGTACAAATTTTGGGATTTACTAAACATTTTTTTTTTTTTTTTTTTTAGAATTAAAGATTCTTAAATATTTTGATAGTGCTCTCTCTAAAATAAATAGACATACAGAAAATTCATTCATTTGATAAATGCTCAGACCCCACAATGTCCTTTCATAAAGACACTTAGATAAAAGTGTCTGGAAATTTAAATAAAATGAGCAGCTGTCACTAGAGTTACTTCTAGAAATCATAATTTAGCCTGACACCTTTATTTTCCTTTACACTAAAAATTATAGACACTCTTCTGGTATTGTTATGAATTATTGCCATTAGGTTGAAAATTTCTCTAGAATATAGCGCATAACAACCTCTTTAATGACTGAAAAATTGTTATGTGTCAAAGAAAGAACCCTTGATTACTGACCAAATTCAGGTCACTTGTCATCATAAAAGCAATAAATAAGTAATCAATGGATTGAAATACATGGTCTATTCAGCCCACTTCCAACATTTGCAGGGCCAGACAAGAGTACAAATGGAGGCCCACATGTCATAGGTCTAAAATTTATAAAGCAAGCTATCAACCTGCTCAACAAAATATGTTCTCCTTCTATATTGATGAAAGTACTTTCATGGTGGGAAGTTCATTCAAAGCCAAATTTAAAATTCTTGGACACCTGGAGTTGTACTCCTGCAATCCCCCAGGCCACCCCTATTCTCTTCTCCCTACAAGCTTCATCCTGGAGTGTGGGGCCTTGTGCCACATGGCACATGTGGACACCCTACCCTTGCACATACAAGCTCTATTCCCCTCCCGCCATCTCTGCCAGCAGCCATTCTTGGCCACCCACAGGCTAGGAGTGGGTATTCTGTCTGTTCTGTCTGCCCTTGGGCCAGACCCAGAGAATAATCCAGTACAGGCCCTGGAAGAGGGCTCAGGGGCATTTGGGAAGGAAATTACAGGGTCTTGGGTACCTGGAGTATAATCTAGAAGAGAGGTCATGATCTCCAGGTTGGTGTACCCCTTTGGCCATGAAGGGAGGATATGACTGGAGAAGAGCAAGAGTGAGCTCCCTAACATATGGGTCCAGGGCAGGAGCCTTCTTGCCCACATCATAGGATGGGTACTAGGTAACTTCCTTGCACTTGAATAAGGGCTGAAACCACACCACTGCTATTTAACAGTGTTCTCCTCTCTCAGAGTGACTTGCTTACTTCCCTAGGATAAACGCCAGGACATGCCATTATCCATGAGAAAACAGCCCAGGAGAAGGCAGGGTGGCTTCCAGATATCACTGGAAGTTTGGGCTGCAGAGAGGTATTGAAAGATGGGAACTGGCTCTAGCCGGTTTGGCTCAGTGGATAAGCACACCAGCCTGTGGACGGAAGGGTCCCGGGTTTG